TTTTCGCGACGCAGGTGCCTTCGTTCAGCATCCTTCTCCCCCCCCCCCGGTCCTTTCTCTGCAGGCCCCAGGATGGCGTCGCAATTGGAGACGGCCGTGGACACCCTCATCTCCGTCTTCCACAACTACTCCGGCAAGGAAGGTGACAAGTACAAGCTGAGCAAGAAGGAGCTGAAGGAACTGCTGCAGAACGAACTGGGCTGCCTCTTGGAGGTGAGACAAGATGGACGCCCGGGGGTCCTTCCTCTTTCAGTTGGGCTTTTCTCTCTCCTCCCCACCCCCCCCTTTTCTCTTCTGTCGGTCAGAATAGAGCTGGAAGGGACCCTGGAGGTCATCTAGTCTATAGAGAAAAGAAGTGGGGGGGGGGGCATGATAAGCAATCTATCTGAGGGGCTGCCCCGAAGAAGAGGGGAGTCCAGCTATTCTCCAAAGCGCCAGAAGGCAGGAGGAGGAGAAGCAATGGGGGGAAGGGGGAACTAGAACTCCCAGTCTCCTGGGGATGGGCCCAAAGTCACCCGGCTGGCTTTCATGCCTGAGGCGGGACTAGAACTCCCCGTCTCCTGGGGATGAGCCCAAAGTCACCCGGCTGGCTTTCATGCCTGAGGTGGAACTAGAACTCCCAGTCTCCTGGGGATGGGCCCAAAGTCACCTGGCTGGCTTTCATGCCTGAGGAGGAACTAGAACTCCCAGTCTCCTGGGGACGGGCCCAAAGTCACCCGGCTGGCTTTCATGCCTGAGGAGGAACTAGAACTCCCAGTCTCCTGGGGATGGGCCCAAAGTCACCCGGCTGGCTTTCATGCCTGAGGCAGAACTAGAACTCCCAGTCTCCTGGGGATGGGCCCAAAGTTACCCGGCTGGCTTTCATGCCTGAGGCGGGACTAGAACTCCCAGTCTCCTGGGCATGGGCCCAAAGTCACCCGGCTGGCTTTCATGCCTGAGGTGGAACTAGAACTCCGTCTCCTGGGGACGGGCCCAAAGTCACCCGGCTGGCTTTCATGCCTGAGGTGGAACTAGAACTCCCAGTCTCCTGGGGATGGGCCCAAAGTCACCTGGCTGGCTTTCATGCCTGAGGAGGAACTAGAACTCCCAGTCTCCTGGGGACGGGCCCAAAGTCACCCGGCTGGCTTTCATGCCTGAGGCGGAACTAGAACTCCCAGTCTCCTGGGGATGGACCCAAAGTCTGATCCGCTGGGTCTCCTTTGGTTGCCCTGCACAGGAGAACGGAGCTGGAAAGCAGGTTGGTGGGTTGGGGAGGGAATAGAGATTATGCAGTATACCCCCTCCCCTGCCACGCCCACCAAGCCCCCAAGCCACACCCACAGAACACCCCTGCCCACCCAAGCCACGCCCACAGCTGATCGGCTGGGTCTCCTTGGGTTGCCCTGCGCAGGAGAACGGAGCTGGAAAGCAGGTTAGTGGATTTTGCCGTAACCATCCCCTGCCACGCCCAACAAGCCACACTCACAGAACCGGTAATTTTTTAAAAAAAAAAATGGAATCCCACCACTGCGCCCCCCCACCAAATCCTCGTCCGATTTCTTTTTTTCTTTTTTTCCAGACCCAGAGAGAGCCGGAAGTGGTGGACAAGATCATGCAGGATTTGGATGAGAACGGCGACGGAGAAGTGGATTTCCAGGAGTTTGTGATCCTGGTGGCCGCCATAACCGTGGCCTGCAACCCCTTTTTCTCGAAGGAAACCTGAGCCCCGCCGAGCGGCCGTCGTGGGAACGCAGCAAAGCTTAGGGGTTTTTTGGGGGGGGTCGGGGGATTTGACCCCGGTGGGGGACATTTGCTGTCTCTTCGCGGTGCCTTTTTCCTCCCCCCCCCCGCTTTCTTGCGGCTTCTCTGCCCGGCTGAGAGCAGCCCGAGGTGCCTTGTAACCCGCCTGCTGAGGCAGCGCTGCTGATTAAAAAGCTATTTAGTGTGCACTGGGCCTGGCCTGGTCTGGTCTCTGGGATGGGGGTACAGTGGGGGGTCTTGGGGGGGGGAAGAAGGGTGGAAGGGCAGTTTGGGGCTCTTCAGGCAAGAAGGGAGACTGGGAGGAAGCAGAGAGATGGAGCCAGGGTGAGAGCGGGAGTCTGGAGCCTGGTTTTGTGGGCGCACTCACAAAATGGCCCTGGGGAGGTGGCGTTTGGGCAGCTAAAATAAGGAGAAAGAGGAGGAGGAGGAGGAGAAGAAGAAGAATTATTTATTCATTCATTCATTTATTTATTTGTTATATATTGCCGCCTATTCGCCCATGGCGACTCAAGGCGGCTTACACAATGTAAGAACCATGTTTAAAATAAAAAATAATAAAAGCTAACAAAAAGAATCAAATAAATTGACAAAGCACAATAGAACAAAATCTGGGAACAAAATAAAAAATATATAAAAATAAAAATGCAAAAGAACCCTACATCCTTTTCCATACTTGGGACCACTGGCCCCTAAAAAGTTGGTTTTTTTGGGAGTAGGAAAAAAATAATAATCTCCCATTCATAAAAACGTGGCGCCCCGCCCACATTGTCAAGCACCGCCCCCTCGCGGCCTGCCAGCCGCGTGATGAATGGGAGAACTCCGCGGATGAAGCTCCGCCCCTTGGCGGCGCCGTTCTTGGGGCCCCGCCCCTTTCTCGCGCTCGCTTTTCTTCCTTCTGCGCCTGCGCACCTCAAGGGGGCGGGGCCGATTTTTCCTTCCCTCGCCGGCGCATGCGCGAACTGTGAAGAAAGAAAAGCCTTGGGCGGCGCCATTTTGCCGGGCTTTTTCTGAGGGGAGATTTGAGAGCCGGGGACGCGGAGAAGCCCCGGCGGCGGCGGAGCAGCAGCAGCGGCAGTAGCATCGGAGAGCGCGTCGTGCTGCTCCCGAGGGCCGGATACAGTGAAGGGGAGAACCACCACCGCCACCATCTTGGCGTTCAGGGCATCCGACGGGGCCGGCCGGGCGAGGCCTGAACGGAGCCTCCCGTCGCAGCCGCCGGCAGAGTCACAAAACAAACCGGGCGAGCCTCGACCCCGACGGTGAGGGACCCGCGGGGTGGCCGGCTGGGATTCGGAGAGGGCTCTCCGGGGACCGTTGGCCCACGTGACAGGCTTGAAACGCGGCCTACCGGAAGTGGGGGCGGGCACTTCCGGTAGAGAGGGGCGGGGCTGCTCCCAGGCGCTCATTCCCCCCCTCCCCACCTGGTGCTTAATTGGCGGGGGGGGTTGATATCTGTGTATTATGGGGCTTGTAGGCCTCCCCTGTCCTGGGGATGATGGGAGTTGTAGTCCAGCTTTGCTTCTGGGCGGGGGGGGGCAGACTGGGAGAGGCCTTACCTGAGTGTTTAGACTGGGGTGGGGGGATACTCCAATTTGGGGTTTTTACCCCCTCCCAAAACCCCCTCCCAAGCAGTTGGCCCCCCTCTAAAAGCCCATTTTGGATTCTGCATCAAAGCTGCCTGAAATTTCCCGTACTACAAACAACCCTGCAGGGTAGGCTGGTGGAGGGGGTGGGGCACAGTGGTCTGAGGAGCTTCTGTGGCTGCTGGCTCCAGATCTGGGGATTCATGTAAGTGGCTATATACATACTTTCGTATTTATTTCCCTTGCCATGTTTATATAGTGCAAAATTGGAGGTGGTGACCTTTTGAGAGCTGTTATACAGCGATATTTCATTTTTAATTTTTTTTTATTAAACAATTAAAAACATTGTAGTGGAGTCCTTTTGACATAACTTTTGGCCATAATTCTAGTGAAATATAATAGAATATAGATCTTACATACATTTATACATATATACATACATACACACACATTTATCCATCCTTATTTACATCTTCCAACACTTAGTGTTCTTTAAGTCTCATGATCGCAGGTGTCCTCTTAACAATTCTTTTCAATCTTGAACCCTTCCTTTCTGTCCCCCCCCCAGTAAAATCTATTCCAAATTACATCATATTCCGATTCATCTTCATTTCTTGCCATGTTTATATAGTGTAAAATTGGAGGTGGTGACCTTTTGAGAGCTGTTATGCAGCAATATTTCATTTTTAATGTAGGCCAACTAATTCAAAGCAACAATAAAGTTTATTCTATTCTTCTGGTGGGCAGCTGGTCAGTTTCTGGAAGCAATCATCAAGAATGTTAAAATAAAAAATAGAGCCAGTTTGGGGTAGACACTAGGAAAGCGCCCAATCACCAGGAGACGGTGAATTTTAGTCCCACCTCAGGCATGAAAGCATCTAGGTAACTTTGGGCCAATCCCTCCCTCTCGGCTGGACCACAGGGTTGTTGTTAGGAAAATAGGAGGAAGAAGGTGTCTTGGATATGTCCGTCACCTGGAATTATTATTTTTTCAAAAAGCGGAATGTAAATAATCGGGCTCTTTGAGTAACATCCTTCTCCTTATTTTTGCGCAGGTTCTGGGCACCGGAGATGGCCGCACAGTCAGCGCCGAAAGTCGTGCTTAAGAGCACCAGCAAGATGTCTCTTAACGAGCGGTGAGGAACCCAACGGCCACCTTCAGCTCATAAGATCTTTTTATTTTTTACGTTCTTCTTTTTTTTTTTTAGTTTTGTACACTGTCTGGTGTCCAGAGCAGGAGCGGTCTTTGCGATGCTTGTAAATCTACCCAGAGGCACCCGAAAGCCACGCGGGCAGCTCCCTGTTGCCCCGCCGTGGTACACCAGGTTGAAAGGGCAAACGTGTCGGCCTAACCGGCAACCAAAAAAAAAAAAAAACCACAAAACCCGGTCGCGTTGGTGGGGTGTGTCCTGAGGAAACTTCGCGCCCTCCTTTTTTTTTTCTTCCACATGTGTTCATATTCTAGAGATGTGTGGTATGACGCCCGCGGTGTGGTAGCATGTCACCGCAGCTGCGGGAGGCTTCCTGCTGTGCCCGAGGCAGACACGCGTGACCTCGTGTGGTCTGTGCTGTAAGAGGCAGGCAGCGGGCCGCTCTGACCAGCCCGAAGGCTCCTTGGGGGCCTTGTAAGAGGCAAGTGCTTGGCTCCATCGCCTGCTGCTTCCTCCTCTCCTCTGCGCTCCTCCTCTTCCTCCTCCGTGTCTCTCGTGAGTTCAAATGTCCGAATGTTGGCTGAATCTTTTGCTTTCCGTTCCCCTTCTGTGTTCAAATTTATAGTCCTAGGTTAGTCGGCCTAAACGTCCATCGTAACTCAGTCGTTTTAAAAGTCTACAGGTAGTAGATTTTTTTAATAGTCTTCTTTTTTAAAAAAAAAATCTACAGGTAATATTTACCTGTATGAAGGGGTGGTGTCAGGGCTCCGGCCATATCCCCAATTAAATCCGGAGTCTCGAGCCAAACTTCCAAAACATCCAAAGGATTTATTGGGAGTTAACATGCCGACACTGCACTTTTATTATTTAGACTTTGAAGGCTTTATTATTATTCACATCCTGAAGCAAACGGGGGGAATAATAAATATGAATAAGCCTTGGTGTTTTTTTTTTTTATTTAATCGTGCTGCATGGAAAGCAATGGTGCCCGACCAATTTGGAAAGATAAAAAGGGGTAAGCTAGGTTTATGGTTTCGGGATACTTCTCCCAATGCCGGTTTCGGCACACTGAGATGTTGGCTTTGAGGAGGTTGGTGGGGGGGGGCTTGCAGAGTTCGCCATTCTTTTACCTCTTCATTTCTCCTAGTCTAGGGGGTTGGTAGCCTTTGGCAAGGAACCTTCCAGTTCCTTTCTTAACGCCCTCCAGTCCTTCCTCCCTTGTCTACGTAGACCCCTCTCAGCCTTCCTCCCCATCTTTCCACCGCCATTTCTGCTTTGCTCTTTCCCACCTTCGCTTGATTTTATTCAGACATTCTCTGTCTCTGATTTTCCCATCCCCGCCTTTCGAATGTTTGTGTGTGTGTGTATGTGTGTGTGTCGGTCGTCCTCTTTCCCCCCCACCCCTGCACGCTCTGTGGAAAAAAATGAGGAAAACCAAAAAAAAAAAAAAGAGTTCCCATTATGCTTTAAACGGGATCTTGAGTTTGTGTAACCACCTTATTACGTTTATTTAAAAAAAAAAAAATTTCCGTGGGGATGCAGCTGTGCACCCCCCCAAATATCCTGCTCTGAGAGGGCTGTGAAAATGCCGCTTGAAATGGGTCTGTAATGAAACCGTTTTGCTTAAACACACCCCGTTTTGTTCGACCTTGAAGCTTTACTAACATGCTGAAGAACAAACAGCCGATCCCGGTGAATATTCGCGCCACAATGCAGCAGCAGCAATTGGCCAGTGCCCGAAACCGGAGGCTGGCCCAGCAGATGGAAAACAGGCCTTCCGTCCAGGCTGCCTTGAAGCTCAAGCAGGTGAGGCCGGTAGAGGAGGAGACCCCCCCCCCCTCAAGCAGCTGGAGGGGAGGGGGAGGGCCTGGAGGGTGAAACCAAGGATGGGCTCCAGCCTCCCAGTCCGAAAGCTTGGAAGGCAAAACCTCTGGTCCCCCGTTGACCGACCCCGGTCACATCCCGCGGGGCTTAAGTTCAGGCCACGCCTCCCCTCTCCTCTCAGAAATAATCGGGGGGGAATTATTAGCCAAAACTATTATTAGCAAAATTATTCGCAGTTTTCCTTCTTTGGAAATATTGGCCGGTTGCAAATTCACGGCAAGAACTAGGAGCCATTAAGGTGTAAAATGAACGAAAGGAGCCACTATTCTATAAGAATTGTCGGGACGAGAATTAAATCAAATTAAAAGAGCCCAGCGAGAGAGAGAGAGAGAGAGAGAGAGAGAGAGAGAGAGGTGGAATCCCATCCCCAAAACAATGCTGGGGATTTTGTTTCCCTGTGGCATTTCGGACCGTTTGGTTCATTGTCATCTCCCTTGCTTGATGATAATTGTTTTGTTTTGTTTTTTAAAGAGAGAGAGAGAGAGAATATTGTGTTTTCATGGCTCTGGGCTTGTTTTGTAACGTGGCAGTGACACAAATTCCATGACGGGGGCATTCATGCTTTTCCACCCTGTCGGCAAATTTGAAAGGTTAACGTGGATTCCCACCCCCAGGGATCTTCCTTCTCCAGCCAAGCCATTCATGATTCTTAGGGCTGAGATCTCTTTCCCTCTCTTCCTCTCCTTTTGGGGACGGGATCCTCTGTCCCAAAGGGCACCCAAAAAGCATCTGGACTTCCTGGTTTTATTTTATTATTTTTTTCCCCCCTTGCGAAACGTTTCGCTTCTCATCCAAGAAACTCGCTTCGGTTCTAACTGAACTGGTAAGGAATGGAAGGATTTATTGGATTCAAAAGAGACAGGAAAAACAAAAACAAACAAACACCAAGGAAGGTCCAGTTGCCTTTTGGAAAGAAAAGAAAAGCACTTTACTGTGACCTGGAGGATGGACAGATGGGGTGCTCTGAAGACCTGCCTGCCTGCCTGCAAAGCTTGTGTCTTCGGGGCCATCGGTTTGCCCTCAAACTGGATGAAGAGCCCCTGAAGGAAGGTTTTCCCCCCCCCACTGATGGCAAAAGCCCCGCCGTGTGATATTGTTCTCCCCCACCCGTGATGCTGCTAATAATGACAATTTCTGCCTGATAGGTTACGTAAGGTAGCTGCCACCCAGGTGGTGCCATTTGCACGCTCTCTTGCTTGTCCCTGCCGCCTTTCCCCTCCTCCTAACCCTCCCTTCTTCCAGAAGAGCCTGAAACAACGTCTGGGGAAAAGTAACATCCAGGCACGCTTAGGCCGGCCGGCCCTGGCTCGCGGGGCCTTCGGAGGACGGGGGCTGCCGATGGGGCAGAGAGGCTTGGCCCGGGGAGCCCTGCGCGGGGGACGTGGAGCCCGGGGGCTGCTGCGCGGAGGAATCCCCCTGCGAGGTGAGCGCGTGCTGCGGGGGCTCCAAGCGAGAAGCAACGTTGGCTGGGGGGTTTTCTGGGCTGCTCCTTAAGGTATCTGAAGGAGAGTCCTTGACTTACGACCACAATCGGGACCAGAAGTAAGCCGGGCGGGTTGCTCAGCGAGACGTGGCTAATTTTCCAGCCCTTTTTTTGTTGTTAGGGTTTTTTTTTCAAGCAAGTCATCATCATGGCAGTGGTTGAGGGAATTGGGATAGAGGGAATGAGCTTGGAAGGGAATTGTGCGGCTGTTTAGTTGTGCGGCTTCTCCCCTCGGATTGGCTTCTCGGAAGGCCCTCCCCCCCAACCATCGGGGTCCTCATTTTACCCACCTGGGAAGGACGGAAGGCCGAGTCCAGCTTGAGCCTGGTGGGATTCAAACTGCCAGATTGCAGTAGGAGGGGCTTGTAATACTGCACTCTAACCACTGCACCCCCGAGGCTCTTGCTGCAAGCAGTCGTAAACCACAGGCCCCCGAGTCACTTTTCTCAGTGTCTTTGTCACCGTCAAACGGTCGTAAGTTGAGGACTACCCTGTCCATAACAAGCCTGAGGGCCTGATGGTGGACGGGGCAGGAAGGGGAAGCTCACTGGTTGGACTTGGCCGGGCCGCTTGGCACCTAAGCCGGGCCCAGTTGGTCCCATTCGTGGGGAGGGAGGGAGGCTGGGTATAAAACCACACCTCTCTGGGACAGAATCTTTTTAATTTTATTAATTTTATTAATATTAATCCTTTTAATTGTGTGTGTGTGGTTTTTTTTTATTCTGGGGTGGGCTTCTTTGGCTCTTTTTTTTTTTTGTCCTGGGGAAGGTGTGAACTTTGACCTGGGGAGGAGGCCTGAGGTGGGGGCGGGAAGGAAGAGTGTAGAGCCTGTTTGAATGTGCTGGCAGGGCTTTAATCCCCCCCCAAAGAGATTTTCCTGTATTTGACCCTTCTCCCCCTCCCTCCCTCCCTTACAGGACATAGTTTGCTTCGGGGAGGCCGGGGACTCGGCCCCAGGATGGGGCTGCGGAGAGGAGGCATGAGAGGCCGGGCGGGGCCTGGCAGGGGCGGCCTGGGCCGAGGAGCCATGGGACGGGGCGGCCTCGGCGGCAGAGGTGAGTGGAATGAACCTGAAGGACGGAGGTGTGTGTGTGGGGGGCGGGCTGTGTCTCAGGGATCGGTGGGGGGCTGGGGGGTGTCAAAGTGGGTTTGACTGAAATCAGGTCGATTTAAATCACTCATAAAAATCAACTCGATTTAAAATCTCCATTTTTAAAAGAGCCGCTCTGCCTCTGACCCACCCTTGACTCCATCAATTGAACGTTTATAGTCGGCACACAAACGGTGGAGCGGTGAAATTGACTCGCCGGCCGTCCCAATATTGCCGAATGCGCAGCCTCGTGCGACATCACGAAGCCCCTGTTTCATGGCTGAATAAACTCCATTGCGGATGTTCTCTTAGATAGAAAACTACCTTGAAGTCGATTTGATATATTTTTTTTTTACTCCAAAAGCATTTTTATTCAAATCAATTCGATTAAAAAAAAAAAAGTCCGATTTACATTTTAAAAGACCTGATTTAAATTTTGAAACCGATTTAAAATTTTTTAAAAAAATCCCAATTTAAATTTTAAAAATATGATTTTAAAATTGAAAAAAAAAAACAGTACCTGGTTTTATCCATCCTGGGTTGGGTATCTAATGCTTTCTCTCCACCCTCCCGCCCGCAACTTCCTGGCAGCCCTCTAACCATCCCCCTTTGGCCTTTTTTTTCCCCCCTCCGAAGGTCGCGGCATGGCTGGCCGGGCCAGGGGCGGCTTTGGGGGCCGTGGAAGAGGCCGAGGCCGAGGCAGAGGCATCACTCGCCCGGCGCTGACCAAGGAGCAGTTGGACAACCAGCTGGATGCTTACATGTCGAAAACGAAAGGACACCTAGACGCCGAGCTGGACGCTTACATGGCTCAGACAGACCCGGAAACCAACGATTGAGACTGCTGGAGGAAAAGGGGGGTGGGGGGGAAGATATGCTTGTTGGTGGGGGGGGGAGGCACTGGGGTTGTGGGGGGGGGGCATAGATTGGTCCCCTCCCTCGTAGTGACCATGAACACCCACCCGCTCCTCCCGCCAGGCCGGAAATGTAGAATTGTTTTCTTCCCTTTTTGTGTTTCGGCCCTCCTGGTTGTGCGAACGCGTCCCCGGGGGGAGGACAAGGGGGTGGGGAAGAGACCCCTTTCTAGGAGTCCGGGGGGCCTGAGCAGCTCCCGTCGGTCCCCGTTTCTGTCAGCCAAGCAGCCCTCCCAGGAATTCTGCCCCCCCTCCTTTCCTCCCCCCCCCCAAATGCCCTCCTTTGCCCTGGGAGGGGGAGGAAGGGGCCTGAATTCCAGCCCCTCCCCTCACTTCCCTGTGTCTTGACAGGCCGTGTTGGGGTCTCCAGCCCAGTCCAGGATCCTCCTTCCTCCCCCCCCACCCCCCGAAATGAAATAAATAAAAATGAGCCCCCCCAAAATTTGACTTTCTTGAACCCAAACGGCCCCAGAAGAAGCCGAGAGGTGGGGTTTGATTTTTGATTTGTTTGTTTTGGTGGTTTGTAATGGCGAGGAAACTAATGTGGGTTTTATTTTATTTGTGGGGGGGGGGGGGGGGAGGACATTTGATGGGTTTGGGTTGCCAAGGAGGCGGTTGCTCTTCCCCTTCTCCCCACCCCCATCCTCGCCCCCCCCCACCCCCCCCCTCTCGCTAACCGCAGTTTTGTGGACTCCGTTCCGAAACAGCCTCATGCAACATCCTGGTTTTCTGTAAGGAACAATTTCAGGGAAATGAAAACGTGGACTGTGTGCGCTTTGTGTTGTGTTGTGTGTTTTTGTTCCTTTCTCCCCCCACCCCACCCCCCGACACACACACAAAAGAAAAGTTGCCCATTGCCAAGGACTTCTCCAAATGATGAATCCAGGGTGCTGCTGGGGGTGCTGGCCACCGTCTGCCGAGATATTCCTCCCCGGGTTTTCCTTTTAAATCTCCTATGTAGTTCCCTAAATGTCCCATATATCTCAGCTTCCATAGGCAGCTAAATAAACATGTCTATTATCTATCTATCTATCTATCTATCTATCTATCTATCTATCTATCTATCTATCTATTCTATTCTATTCTATTCTATTCTATTCTATTCTATTCTATTTTCTCTCTGTCACAGTCCTTCTATCATATCTATCTGTCATCTCTCTGTGTCACACTATCTCTTTCCATCTATCACATCTATCTATCTATCTATCTCACTGAAATTCCACTTAATGCCTCATCCCAAAGTCTCCAGAACCACAAAGCCTACAAACTTTAAATTTGTCCCGTAGATTCCTCTTGGCTTTTAGGGGCTCACTAGGAAAGGATTTTTCGAAAGGACACTCAGAGCATTTAAAGAATTTCCTATATTATTACTATTACTATTTATTATTATTATTATTATTATTATTATTATTATTATTATTACGCTCTGATGCTAAGGAGTTCTACTCCCCCACCCCACCTGGAAAGAAATCTCTTCCAAAGGCAAAAAACAAGCAGAGGAGTTTTAGTTTCAGAGCACCAACCAGCTTTAGTCCAGAACAGTTGAGCTAAGCCTCGCCCAGGCTCCTCGCTGTCTCCTCCTTGCTCACACAGAAAATACTGTTTCAGTTTCCAAACAGCCCTCAACACTCCGTAAGCTAGCCAGATGAATACCCATGGATGCTGGTAGGCAGAGGCAGAATTTCCTCCCCCTTATTTTCCTCTCTTAAAAACTAAGCCCAACCACATCGTTTCGTACTGAAATGAGGGTAGGGAGCTGGTTCAACTCAAAACAAAACCCAGCTCTTGTCACAAAGTTCTCAAATCGTGCTCAAAAGTTTGAACTTAAAAAATTCGAGGGGGACCAGCTCAGGATTGGCCTTGGTGCCCTAGTGTGGCTTGTTGCCTTTGGCCGTCCTTGCCAGCATCTTCCGTGCTAAATTTTGGAAATACAACACACACACATGTTCTCTTGTGTTATTGCGACCTGAAGCCCAAATCGGGGTTTGTGTGGCACACCAGCCAGGTGGTCCTTTTGTGCAAAAATCAACAGACCCAGGATGTGGGGCGGGGAACCAGCCCTTGGGATTGGGGGTCAGAAGGGGCTCAACTCAGCCCACACTTCATTCTTGGTGCTGGGCTGGATTTGATTTAATTGATAAGAATTTATCGGCTGCCTGTTGAGCCACCGGTAGCTTACAATCAAAAAATGGTGTATACGGAGTGTGTGTGTGTGTGAATCTATGCACCCTGCTAGACTCAATTCACAGATGGAGGCACATTAAGGGGGAGGTGGGATCCATTTAATAGAGGATTATTCAAGTTTGCGCTCTGGGTTTTCTAACAGAAAAGGAAAATAAGTGTTGGCTTTGGATCGGAAGCTGCCCGGCTTTAACGGGAATAGAATGGAATACTTGACTGGTTTTGCTTTATCCGCTTACAGAGTTTGATAAACTAACAATCTTGCAAATGAACGGATTAAGATTTATTTGTAAAATAAATCTAGGAAGGCTTTCGATTAAAGTTTTATTGGGGTTTTTCCAATAAAGCTTCTGGCCTTCAGAAGTCGGGGGAGCTCCGTCCCTGGAAGCTTTCAAGAAGGAAGAGACTGGACTGCCTACACCTGGCCAGAAAATGGGGTAGGGTCTCCTTTTTGTGGGGGGAATGGGGTTGGACTAGATGACCTACAAGGCCCCTTCCAACTCTGCTGTTCTGCCCTCCGCAAGGCGCCCTTGGAGCCTGCAAGGAAAATAATTCTATATTTGCAGGAGTCGTTAGATCAAAGCACCCTGGGGAAGGGAATCTGACACCCCATTCACACACACCCGGAAAGACTCCAATTCCCAGCTTGCCTTTCGGCAGGAGCCACCTCCTCTTCCGGTGGGGCTCTTGCGCCGGCGCGCTCCACCCCACCCATCCCATCGGGCTGTTGCGCAGGCGCAGATCCTTCCGGCAGACATTCGCAGTCATGGCGGCTACGGCGGGGCTTTCCAGCCCGGCGGGGCCGGTAGACCGGGACGTCTTCGCCGAGGGGCTGCTGGAGTTCCTGCGGCCGGCCGTGGGGCAGCTGGACAGCCACGTCCACGCCGTCCGGTAAGCGGGCGGGTGTCCGTCCGGTGCAGCTTCCCCGTTTTTTTTTGCATTCCAAGCCAGGCAGGTAGGAAAGGGCTGAAATCCGTCAGGTGCAGCTTTCCTTTACCTGGACACACCGCCAGGTAAAGAGGGAGGCGCTCAGAGGCAGGCAGGCAGGCAGGTGTCTGTCCGGTGCAGCTTCCCCGTTTCTAAGGCCAGGGTGGGCTTTTGCATTCAGAGCCAGGCAGGTGGGGGATGAAATCCGTCAGGTGCAGCAGCTTTGGGGGTTGGGTTAAAAGGCCCCCCAGACCCAATTCAGGCCGTCTTTCCTCTCTCCGACAGGGAGAGCCAGGTGGAGCTGCGGGAGCACATCGACAGCCTGGCGGCAGGTAAGTCTGCCCACCTTGCCCCACCCCACCCCCCTCCTCGAAGCCCCCACCACCACCACCACCATTTCCCCCTCCTTCCCTCCCAGAGCTCTGCCGGATCAATGAGGACCAGAAAGTTGCCCTGGATTTGGATCCCTACGTCAAGAAGTTGCTCAACGCCCGGCGGAGGGTCGTCCTGGTGAACAACATCCTGCAGAACGCCCAGGTGCCTTGACGGGGCAGGGGACGATGGGGATTGGAGTCTGGCAGAGATACCCCCCCCACCCCAAAAAAAGACCCCCCCCCGGGTTTTTAGGGGCGCAGGTCCCCCCCCCCCCCCAGTGCTTTGTGGATGTTTTGCAGCTGCCAAATGAAGAAGTTGAGCAACGCCACTTTCGTTTCTTTCTCTTCCTTGTAAAGGACTAGCAGCTTAGCGGAGGGCTTTGTAATGGTGTGAAAAGCCAAGAAGTTCCTAGTCCTCTGTGATGTGAAGGAACTTCAAAAGGAAGGAACTTCAAAAGTCACAAGCAGGCTGCATTAGGACCACTGAATGACCAATTACATCATATATATATATATATATATATATATGATGTAATTGGTCATATATATATTGGTCATATATATATATCTCTTACAAACTTTTATCTTCCATCTATGTATCTATATAAAAGCAAAATATACCACCCACAAAATCTAGGGGCTCACTAAGAAAGGATTTTTCCAAACGACCCTCAGAGCATTTAGAGTATTTCCTATATTATTATTATTATTATTATTATTATTATTATTATTAAACATGCTCTGATGCTAAGGAGTTCTATTCCCCCTCCCCACCTGGAAAGAAATCTCTTCCAAATACAAAAAAAAAAGCAGAGGAGTTTCCCTTTCAGAGCACCAAGCAGCTTTAGTACAGTTGAGCCAAGCCACGCCCAGGCTCCTTGCTGTCTCCTTGCTCGCGTAGCAAATACCGTTTCAGTTTCCAAACAGCCCTCCACTCTCACACACTGAACAGGACTGCTAGCCAGCTGAATGCCAATGGATGCTGGTAAGGCAAGAGGCAGAATTTTTTTCCCCCTTTGTTTTCCTCCCCGAAAACTAAGCCCCGCCACGTGGTTTCGTAGCGAAGCACACGGGCACCGAGTGAGTAAAATCAATCACAAATTAACAATGCCGCCTGTTTTCCTCCACAGGAACGCCTGAGAAGGCTGAACCACAGCGTGGGTAAGGAGACCGCCCGGAGGAAGGCCTTCCTGGATGCGAGTAGCAACTACCCCCATAGCTCTCCCAGCAAGTGAGGAGGAGGGGGGGGGTCCTGAAGGCAAAAATAAAATATACCCGAGCTTGCTGCCGTTTTTACAGGCACCCACAAACTGCTGAACGAATGTGGAAAGTGACCCCCCCCCCAAAATATGGGGTTTGGGGGAAATGCAGTGCAGAGAGAATTTCGCTGGGCTATTTTTTGCAACTCGCAGCGGAGAGGAAGAGTAGAAATATGTTTGAGTTGCACAGTGTTATATATATATAGAGAGAGAATTAATTATACTTGTAGAGCGGAAGGAAGGACTCCCCGCTTAACAGGAGTGGAATAATAACAAATAATAACCTAAAAGTTGGACCTATGATTTCCCCACCCGCCCAAACTTCTGGGGAAAATAAAAGTTTCAGTGAAAAATGAACTCTTGTCTTGCAGGCTGATTTTGGGTGTGTGTGTGTGTGTGTGTGTGTATATATTTGGGGTAAAAAAAGGAAAATATCCAGAGAAAGAGTGGGGCCAAGTTTTCTTTTAAACCAAGGAGCAGTTAAAGAATCTCCTCTGTGGGCTAAACCAGGATTTAATTTTCTTTCCAACTATGCTAGTTAAATAAATTTGCAGCTTGCTTTCGGCGTGTGTGTGTGTTTGTGTGTGAATCCACTGGAAAAGCACAGGAGGCGATGCAGTTTCCAACGAAAAACGTCGCAGCTTCGAGAAGGCAGAATCGATGGCTGACTTGGAGAAATTCAGGAAAAAAATAAAATAACCCAAATCACGGGAAGTTTAGCCTAGAATGTAATGTAATTTTTTCCCTCCCTTTTCCTGGAGTGAAAAAGGACTATTTAAAAAGACTGGATCACCTGTGATCCTGGTGATGTGTATTTTTGTTTTATTTTTGGTCAACCATAATGCGGAGGCCACCTTGGGTTCGACAAAGCGACGAAGAATCACAAAGCTTTCGTACGAAACACCAGCTTTTTTTTTTTTTTTTAATAAGGAACACCCCATTTTAATGGTAAAAGAGTTATAAAAACAAAGACATTGAAGAAGAAAAAGAAGAAGCGAACAGAACTCGATCGCTGGCTCATCCAATCTCGTTTCAGGCATGGCAGAAAAACTCCCCTGAAAAGGCAGAAACACATTATTATTATTATTATTATTATTATTATTATTATTAATAATTCCTTCTTTGGGGAGGATGCCAAGTCCCAGTCAGGGCTGCCAATTTTTTCACGAAGGAGCCCGGTGTGATGGGGGCCCCGTGGGATGACTGCCCCCGGGGGACATGACACAAAAATAACCCAAGTCACAAAAAACAGAAGAAAGTCCCTTTCATGCCTCCAACTTGGCCCCAATGTTCCAATTATCCTCAGCTTGGATATCAAACTCTTAAAAAGAAAACAGTTTACGGAAGGGAGTAAATGCAGCGCGCACCCAAAGTAAAGTTAATTCGAAATAAAATTTAAAAAAAAAAAAAACCCAACACCCACCACACTGACGGAATTACTACGGCAAAGATGATTAATTGCCGACTGCCACCACAATTGGGAGGAAGCGAACACTGACAAGAAGAAAACATGCTTTGCTTCCAGCAACTCTGCGATGGGCAGTTTGCCCTCTTAAACAGTCTTCCCAGCTGCAGCGCATGAAGGAGATCAGGGCCCTTTCCTCCCCCCGTAAGCCATGTTGCTCCCTTGTCCTTAACCTGGCTGGTCTTCCACCTGAGGCTGTTGGGCAGACCCCTTTTCCCGCCCACGGAGGGAGAACGGAGCAGCAATGGGGCTCAAAAGTTACCTGAGGGCCCCAATTCACTCCTGAGTTTCCATGTTTTCCTCCTCCTCGCCAGCGGCCGGCTCTTCCTGGTTCTCTTCTTCCTCTTCCCCTTCCTTCTTTTCCGGCGGCTTCTCGTAAGCCTTCTCCGACGGGGTCACGATCACGCCTTCCCAGGTGGACATTTCCGTGGCGAGATCTGCAGAAGCGAGGGAAGTCCGTGGTCCAGGAGGAGGGGCGCGCCAGCCCACCCCTCCACGCCCGTTTCTGGGGTGTGTGTGTGTGCGTGTGCAGCAGCACCTCCCTACCTCCCTCTGCCGGGTCCCCTCAAACACTTCCCCACTTACAGTTGGCGTCTCCTTCCTGTCCGAGGATCTTGCGGTAGCCTCCATGGGAGAGAATGCGGACGAGGGTCTGTGCTGTGTAGCAGACCATGTCCTAAGAGGGAGGGAGAGATGGAGGCTGTCCTGAGGAGGGGGCTTCAGACTGGGCATTTAAGCCCACCTTTCACAGTCCTCACGGCTTTTGCCACCCAGGGCTGCCTCTCTTCCCCTTACATTGAACAAGCTGTACGGAAAAGCTTAAGCCAGGCTTATAAACGAGAGTTTCTGACGCCACAATTTTTTAAAATGGTGAATTAAAATTATTTTTTAAACAGCTTCTATCCCAGGACAGTAGCTCTTTCGAATTTTTACTGCATAGTGCAATCTTAATAGCAATATCAGGGGTTGTCAATTCAATTGACTGGAATGTGAAGGATGTTACGTTTGTGTTTTATTTTCGTGGTCATGGTGTGCACTGAAGACGGCGTTCGATTTCGTTGCACGAGGTGCAGTGACAATAAAGCAAACTGAAAATCTGCAACAAAACTCTAGTGAATGACGCAGCTTTTAAGACCTGCAACTGCAATCGCACAGCGAGGATGTATTTAAGGGGACATCCAGGCTGAGAAATCCCTTGTGTTGTCTAACCCCACTGGGCCAAATAAATAATTTCTAACAAAGCTGTAAATGACACACACACACACAAAAAACCCCATACATTTAAAATCTGTGACTATATAACCACTTGGCCAAATGCTTCAAATGACACATAAAACCCCCCATATTTTAAAATGTGCGGCCATATGATCACGCGATGAGGCTGATTATCTAACTGGGACATCCGGGCAGGACAACTGACTGGGCTCAGACCAGCTTTTTAGGGCGACCAAATTTAAGGCAGGGGACCAGAGAGGACGCTAACCTGCTGCTCCAGGGTCATAACAGTGTGGACTCTGAAATTTCCACTCTCACATGGATCAGTGATGCCGACCGAACCGGGAAGGAACAATCCCGCCGCCAGGATCTGAAGGCAGCGCCTGGGAAGGGGGAGGAAAGACAAAAAGTTTCTCCGTGGCTACTCAAAGTGTTGCTGTTTTTAATCCCCAGAAAGAGAGAGAGAGAGAGATGGAGGATGGATAACTAGATTGATAGATGGGTAGATAGGATAGACAGATAAGGAGAGAGATAAGCAACGGGCTGCTGGTTTGGGTAGCAAAGACAATTCTTCAACTGGTACAACACACACACAGATATGGGTATCGTGTTTCTCCGCAAATAAGACCATGTCTTATTTTTATATATACGTATATGTGTATGTATGTATGTATGTATTATGTATATCAATCAGGATGAAGAAAAAAAAAACATTCAAATAAAGCACAAAGCCAGCACCAAATTCAAACAGAAACGGCTGCCAAAGTCTGACACACACAGAAAAGAAAAAACCCAAGACGGCAGGTGAGATTCTGCCGAAACGTTGCTATAATTTTAAAAGCACAACTATTAAGACGTGGGAAAATACCCAAAGAAACCTAAATACCATACAAACACCTGTGAAAACATAACATACATACAAACATACATACATATATATACATATACATACATACATACAAACATACATATACATACATATACATATACACATATACACATATATACATATACATATACACATATATACATATACATATACATATATATATATACATACATACATACACATACATACATACATACACACACACAAACACACAGATTCATTTATTTTCCAACTCTTGGGAAGGTACCTTGCAGCTGTTACCTGTAAGCTACGTTGAGGGCCAGTGGTTGTCGAATTGGGTTGTTCATCACAGCATAGTGTCCCTGGAATTAAGAGGGGTAAAAAAAAAAAAAGACTTTGGACTCAGGAAGAGGAAAGGTTTGGTTTTCCACTTCGCTCTGCCTGGGAGCCGAAATCCATCGCGGGAGAAGTTGCCGACCGGAAATCTCCGGGAGGCCAATGGGATTTCCATCCTCACAAAGCCCACGTTTCGCCTGATGGGGACGGTGGCCGCGATTCTCATTGAGGGGCAAATATTTATAGCTAAAACCAGGAAAGTGACCAAACGGCTGACGTTCTTCGCAAGGACTTCAAATCCAGGAGCGGCTCTCCGGAAAACAAAACAAAGGGCCAAAAATTAAATTATTTGGGCTGGGTTCTTTTTGACTCCCGAGAATTCTGCTGTTCTCAAGCTTTTTGAATGTCAAAGCGAGACGCGGGTTCAAGTTTGGGTTCTAGACCGCGCAAAGGAGGCGAGGGAAGGCTGAAAGCTAGCTCTCGACAGTAACTAGCTAATCTAAGTTGGGAATTTAAAAGTTCTCTTTAAGGCCTCCCCCGCTGGTTCTGACACCTACGAGCAAGTCCAGGATCCATGGCGTGAGAGGCTCAAAGCCCGGGAAGCGCATCCTGAGGTCCTTTAAGAGGCGGATCAAAACTTTCACCCTGCAAGGAGAGAAAAAAAGGGTGTCCTCTCTTGATGCAAGACTTTGGGGCCGGGGAGTTGAGGGTCGCTTAGCCCCACACCTCAGCAAACGCCCCCGCTGTCGGGATTCCAGAGATCGCCCTAATTGAATTAGGATCCTTGAGCCCAACTTCAAAAAAAACTTCCAAGGATTTATTAAAGGCGACATACTGGATGAAGCCGACTCTGGGGTGCATAATTTACAGTCCCCTGTGACCCCGTTCCCCTCTCCCTCCTCCTGGGTGTGTCATCGATCAGATTCTCCAATGAAATATATTCACGGGCGAAAGCTCCCGGTAGTTTAGTTACAACCTTTTCAAGAGAAGAGTTGGAATGTTACTTCCGCTTTCCTCTCCTTTTTATGGCGGCTACTAAAACAGGCCTAGGAATGTTTGATGAGTTGACAGCCCCCTTTGAAAACAGCTTAAAAAAGGCGGCTGTCAAAACTAGGT